TATACTTAAATTATCTTGACAAAAAAACATGCTACATACCAGATAGTTATTCCTAATAAGACTAATACACTTCAGTTAGGATGCTTATTTTTGCTATATTTTGTATTTGTTGGATATTATAATATATATGTATATATACATAGATATATGCATGTATGTGTATACACTTGCTTACTTGCCTCACTTTTGTCAAGAGATACTCAAGGTAGTATGACCTTGAGCAAGTCAAAGAACCTACAGACGAAGTGACAATCAGTCACATGATCTTCAGAGCTTAATATTGACAACTTGAGGGGAAAAAAAACAAACAAAAACCTTTTGTTTTGCCTAGCTCATGTTTCATTTCAGTTCTAAAGAAACAATTTCACTGATGATTGGGTGGGCAAAATTGATCTTTGTTAATGAAAAAAATAACATTTTGAGACTCGTCACTAGAAGTAATTGTTGATGAAGAGTAATGTAAGATTCTACTTATTATTCCATCTTGTTGTCTTGCCATCTCACCTGTAGTCCAGAAATCCGACTTGCAACTTCTTGTTTGCCATGTGTATTATCTCCCGAGCTTCTGAATAACTATTAGTGAAAACTACTTCAAAGGAAAAGTACTTTTCTTCAGGGCAGAAATAAGTAGTACCTTCAGTCAGATTTAGGGAAAGGGGGGAAAAAAACATAGTTTAGAGTAGGGTGTAAAAATAACCGATGTGAAGACAGATTGAGGCCCAAGGCCTGCTTTCAGAAAACTGAATGAAAATATGAGAAACATTTTCACTGCATAAGATAAAGCAGGTTGATCTTGTGGATGGGTGGGAGCAGAAATAAACCTGTGAGCTTTTGCATCAATTGAACACCTCAAAATTTAGTAATGTTGATGAAGGGTTAAGTAAACTGTGGTGCATCCAGACAATAGAGTATTGTTCATCCCTAAAAAGAAATGAACTATCAAGCCATGAGAAGACATGGAAAAACCTTAAATGTATATTAATAAAGGAAAGAAGCCATTCTGAAAAATTGGCATACTGAATGACTTCAACTTGACACTCAGGGAAAGGCAAAACTAGGAAGACAGGTCAGAGGTTGTCAGAGGTTGTCAGGGGGGTGCAGGAATAAAAAGGCAGAGCAGAAGATTTGTAGGGTAGTGAAATTGCTCCCTAATGTGCTATGATGGCGGATACATGTGATTGCACATTTGCTTAAACTAACAGAATGTGCAACGCAAAGGGTAAACCTAATGTAGGTTATAGAGATTGGGTGCTAATGACATGTTAGTGGAGTCTCCCCACTTCTAACTGATGTATTGTTCTCGTGGGGAATGTTGATGGTGAGGAAGGGTGTGTGTGGGGTCAATAACTTTAGAAATAGATGTAGATTCAGTGTGAAACAAAGAGATATATTTGAAGTAAGACTTTGGTAAAGAAAATGAAGGAAGAATGAATAGCAATGTTTTATCAAATTCCTGTATCTTATTTTTAATTTTATTGTGAACCTAAAACTTCTCTGAAGAGATAAAGTCTTTAATTATCTAAGTCCATTTAATTTTTGTCAAGTAATTGTGAAAAAAAAGTTTATGCCATTTATCGTCTTTGATGCACCCTATAAATCATTGCAAAAAGTATATCTTTTACCTCTCAAATTTTCCTACAATTGAACTGGAGGAAGAGTTGATTCTTCGACCTCCCAATGTGCTGGGATTACAGACATGACCTACCAGCCCAGCCCTACAGAAAAGTTAAAAAAAAAATTATAGTGAGACCGGGCGCAGTGGCTCAAGCCTGTAATCCCAGCACTTTGGGAGGCTGAGGTGAGAGAATTGCTTGAGCCCAGGGATTCGATACCAGCCTGGGCAACTTGGTGAGCCCTTGCCTCTACAATATACCAAAAAATTAGCTGGGCATGGTAGCGCACACCTGTTGTTCCAGATACTTGGAAGACTGAAGCAGAAGGATCGCCTGAGCCCAGCAGGTTGACCTACGCTGGGGTGGCCATGAATGTGCCACTGCACTCCAACTTCTGTGACGGAGTGAGACTCTGACTCAGAAAAAAAAAAAAAAAAAAGATGAACAAACAGTTCAACAACAACAACAAAAAGGGTTGATTCATTCTTCAGTGTATATATTGTATATATACCCATATTTATTTTTTATAAGTTTAAGTTCTTTCAAAGATAAAACTATGACACAAATACATGATACAACTTTCAGTTAACAATATCTCATGAATAGAAAATGGAAAATATGTACTCATTTTTTCAAACAAAAAGAATTTTAGTGCAGTAACATGTTTCTTCAAAAATATAAGGCTAAATATAAACGATGTATCTGCTCATGCTCAATTTCATACATTACATATAGTAAAGGAGAGGAGAAAATTATATGGTCCTCATATTCTCTAATAGTTTGTATTCGGTATTATGAAAGTTAATAATTAAATACTGTGCACCTTAGTTTTTTAAGTATAAACAAGATACTGTACCATGTTCTAAATACATGAAAGTGTATAGTATGTTTGGTTTTCTTAAAAATAACTGTTGGAGCATGTTCTTTTCTTCTTTGTTTTGTTCTGAGTTTTTGTATAAAAGAGTTAAATCAGGCTGATTAAATTATGTCAGTACCACAGGGGGGAACTAGGAAGAGAGAATTAGCTCATCAGGCAGTAGTTAGGTCATAGCTTATCCCACCATAACTCAGGTACTGTGTTATCCAAGTCTGACAGCCACGGTCAAGTCAAGGGTCAGCGCCAAAATGTCTTTTATCATAAGTTGGAAATGCTTATCCCTGCAGCTGGCTAAGCTTTAGTTGGCTAACTGCAATCATTCAGGGAGTTTTTTAAAGCTCAGTATTGTCTTCAACTCTCTGCCTTTTTGGTTTATAAAAATAACTGTTGGTTTGTATTAGATATACATTGATACTTCGTTAAGAAGGAAAATTCACTTACAATAAATGCCTCTGTCGATAACTTCATAAACAGAAGTAGAATTTATGTGAAACATAAAGATATATTTGAAGACTTTGGCTAAAAAAAAATAATAATACAGAATGCCTTAAAGAATTGTTACCCAAACTGTGGCTTTTTTCTCATTGGTGGTCAAAATTTAATTTACAAGGTCTTTGACACAATTTTGAAGATGAAATACAGAACAGACTAGGAAAGGATAGGACAGGATAGGATAGGACAGGATAGTTCAGAATAGGATTGACATAGGTTAACACTCAAAAAGAAAATATTTGGACAGTTATAAAACCCCTAATGGTTTGTGTGTGTGTGTGTGTGTGTGTGTGTGTGTGTGCACGTGCATGTTAGGATAAGATGTAAATTATTCTTCTTTGTAAAAATTATTGACTTTGAACAAAAATTTTCTGTAAGCTACCATTTTAGAATAAAGAGGTTGGGCTTGTCTTGTTGGCTGGGAAATTAGTCTCTGTGAGACTTTCTCATCTGTAAAATGAGGATAAGGCAATCTACGTCATATGATTCATGTGAGAATTAAGTGAGATGATATGTGTTGAAACCTCTAAAGTGTTTCCTGAACATATTACACACTCAGTTTTAGTGTCCTTTGTCCATGGTAGCATTGCCAATAATAAAACAAACTTGTGACATTTCCCTGTGTATTCAGCTATGTGCCTGGGAATCTTGAGTCGGCTGAATGAAATGATAGGTATACAATCAAAACCATAAATCAAAGGAAAGCCAGTCTACTAGGGCAAAAAGTACACAGTCAGGTAGATCTGTGCTAAGAAGAACTGGTTTGTGAAACTGTATTTGGTTCAAATTTCCCTCCACTCCAGTAACTCCTGGTTGATGAGGAATCTAGTAGTTCTTCTGTCTATAACTATTTCACCCAAATTCCTCTTCTATTGCCGAATGAACCTCAGAGGTTACTGGGAGTTTACCTTGAGGCCTTGTCAGGAACATGTGATCTAGCTTCAGAGGCTTTTGGGTAAGAAAGAACTGATACTTCATTGTGAACAAGTTTCAGTTCAATCATCATCAGACAGACAGTAAGCGATCATCAACAATTGTGAACAGGCATTCAAGTCCTGCACCCTTGTCTTAGAATGGTCGCAATTAGTGAGTTTCAGAAATAAAGAGAGGACAGTGTTAAAACCACACTAGCATGTGTTCTTAACTCCCTAATTAAATGTCCATCACATTTATCCAGAATTTTATGTTCTCTTGACTCTTACTCATGGGTAAATTCTTTGATGGCAAAAAAGAATGTCTTATTCATGTACTGGCAAGTACTTGACATAATGTTTGCATGACGAGTAACTGCTCACCATCAATATGGAAGTCATATTGTGAAGCATTCATGTCCCTTCTTCAGTTTTTCTTAAAAGATTAACTTTTGATATTTCCCCAGGTGATAGCTGTCACTTCCAAAAGCTGAGAGAAAGATGGAATAGAAAATGCCTCCCCATGCACTCTCATGTGTATACCCACTCGCCTTGGCAATAGGATTCCCACCACCCCCCAGCGACAGGCAGAGCAATGCCCCTGCCCCTGACCCCAAAGAACTCTTCATTATTTACAACAGTCATACTATGTGTCTGGTTGCTGTCCTGAAGTTCCAGAGAATTTGATTTTTTTTTAAGTTGGAGTCTCACTCTGTCGCCCAGACTGGAGTGCAGTGGCCGCTCCTGGCCACCGCAGCCTCGCCTGCTGGGCTCCAGCGATCCTTCCGCCTCAGCCTTCCGAGTAGCTGGAATGACAGGCGCGCGCTACCACTCCCGGCTGATTTTTTTATTTATTGTAGAGATGAGGTCTCGCTGCCCAGGCGGG